CAAAAAAAGTCAAGAAAATTTTCTTCCTTCCTAGTCAAGACCGAAATTTTCTCACAAGGTTCCTCAATATACAATGGAGGCAAGGAGAAAGTGAAATTCCGACAACTTGATTAGTCCTTAGACATGAAATCAAAGATTCATGTCCCTTGGGGTTATTGTTTCTTTGACACAGCCTTTTAACTGAGTGATATAAGTTATAAAATAATACATAAGACCGCCAAATATTGATGGACTGTGGAAAAAGATTGAATTAAAATAGAAACACATGTTTCATTTTATCACTAAAGCCATCTGATATTCTTGTCATGACACTGAAAATATGAAAATTCCCTTTTTTTAATGTTTTGGAGAAGGGGGTTAGAAAAAAGACATGGTAAATGGGATGGAAAATAATTGTGTGGACTGTATTTACTGAGAGGATTTCACACAGAGGAGAGAGGTTTCTTATGTTTTATTACTCATTATTGATTGCTAATTTAGAAAGTCATATTTTCTTGTAATGAGGATAATAGAACAATGAGAAAGCTTCTTAGAAAACTTTTTCATCATCAAAAAGAATTACGTAGAAGGTTTAAAGTCTTACGTCTTACGTAGAAGAGACTTTGATTAGAGTCTTTAGTTTAATTACCAGGGTTTAATTATTATATATTTCATTTATTTTCATCTGGAGGAGAAATATATTGTTTTTAATATAATTGATGTTTTCTTAAAGATAACCGTTCACTGTCTTCTAAAATAAATTATATATCGGTTAATGATGAGTCACTACTGTGAATAACTATTGTTTCATTTTTAATTGTTTTTTCTCCTTAGATTAATTCAAGAATTCTGCCAAGTCCAATTTGGCAACACCGGTTAGTAAGAACTTATAACCGTACCTAATACATTTTGGCTATATGAACAGTGCTTGCAACATTTGTAAATTCTAAAATATTTATGCGCTATTCAGCTTTACACGAGATTTATCTATTATTCTGATTATTTAAAAACTTTTTTGAGTTTTAAAGGAAGTTATTGAATATTATTTTAGTAGAATTTCACGAAATAGAGAGAAATTTTGAAAGTATTATTCTACCATTCATATAAACTAAGTCGGACTTTTGCGACCCTGTCATCCAAAGTACCTAATACTATAATTTATTTATTCATTACTATAATTTTCTCAAAGCTGTCCTCATCCGTCATGCAGGATTTCTATTGAGTCTAAAATAATAGATTCTGCACTTTTGGGTAGATATTTGATTTGCTGTGAACAACTTGTGAAGGAGTAAACGCTAGAGGTGGTAGTGTCAACGGTAGTGATTAGTACAATGGTTTCATGTTCTGTGTTTGTAAAGTCAGTAAATGGTGTAAATACAGATGGTAGATGGTCAGCAAATAGTTCAGATTTTTCCCTACCCGTCAAAGCCCATGAACCATCCTCTTTTCGCAGGGGTACTGATACTTCTCGATGTTTTAACAAATTCTTGGTATGCTTCCACAAACTTCCATCATCAGTCGATAGGCTGTTCAAGTAAGCATCATAGTTAGTCGCATTGAATTTTTGTATTAGTCGTTTAAGTTCGTTGTTCACTCTGTTAAATGTTCGTTTATCTGAAAGAAGTCTGTTAGTCTGCCATACCTTTTATACCTTCCCTTATATACTGAGGGTATCTGGGTAAATGTTCTGGCCATGATGGCATTAGAAGTGCTGAAGTCCAAGCAGCTTTTTGAACATTCTTAGTAAATTTGTCAACTGCCTCATCTAGTTCTTCCTCAGTTTTAATTGATCCAGAGATTGACAGTTCTGAATCCAGGAATGTCCTAAATGCATCCCAATCCATTTTTCCATTGATAAGCTTTGGGTTTCCTGGAAGGTTGATGGGCTCATCGAGGATGACCAAGTGTATAAGGGAATGATCAGAGCATAGATCAGAGCTTGTATTTATGGTGTGAGGTATGGTGCGTAATCCTTTTGTTATAAAAAATCAAGTAGGTCTGGAGTTTTTTGTCGCGAAGCTGGCCAATATGTCGGTGTATTAGGTGATATAGTGTCTAATGAAAGTTCATGGATAGCAGTCCTCAGGTTTCTTCCTCTTGGAGTACATAGCCGTGATCCCCAAATTTTGTGCTTTGCGTTAAAGTCACCACCCCCTATGAAGCAACGCCCAAGTCTTTGAAAATAATCGCAAAACATCGAAGATGTCAATACGCACCTCGGAGGACAATATACTGAAGCAATAGTTATTGTGTGATGTTTGGTATGTAGTGATAAGCCTGTAGTTTGAATGTCAGGTGTCGTGGGTAAGTACAAGGGATTATATGATAGTGATGTCTTTATTAGAATAGCTGTTTCGCCATGAGCGTGTCAACTTAGATTTATTTAATTTACAGGATTTATAATAAAAATATTTTTGATATAAGTTATGGAACTTTTCTCTTAGTGTATTCAATTTATTCTAAATAATTCTTATTTATCTAGATACATCTATCTAACGTTTCGGACTCTTTTTCGATCATCAGAGACATCACCTTTTTCAGTGTTCGAACATCATCCACTAATAATATTTGTCACATTTTTTTCTATATTTATACATATTTGTTTAAAATTTATTTCCAATTAATTTTTATTTTACCTTCTGCTTGTTATTAACATTTGCCTTTCCCCCTCTTATTCTATTTGACAACCATATACCACCTTAGTCAATTTTCATTATCATACTGCTGTTTATTTAATTAGGCTTGGCTCTAATTCCTCCATTTCTATCATCTCTCGTCCTTATTTTCATACATTACACCTAAAATAAGAAAAATACAAACAGTAAATAATAACAATTTTGTTTAATTATTATATAATATAATATAAGTACGTATCAAATTATTATATAATAAATAGGTATGTATCGATTGGTTTACACTATTTTATTATATCGGTCATTTGGATGTTCTATAATGACATCGTTATTATAGTTGTATTTTTAACAATCATGACATAGTTTCAAAGAAAAGATTTCTTAAATTAATAGTGAAATCAGGGCATAGTTTATCCATTCTTTAGCCCCCATTCATAGTGTTCAAAGCAGTTCTCACTTGAGAAATAATTTTAACAAGTTTAGACCTCTCTTTTGACACAACGTTCTTTGGGATCTACGAGAACAATACATGTTCTCTCATATATAAATAATGCTTAGTTAATAGCTCGTAGAGACGGATAATAAATAAATTGACACACATTTTTTCGCACTTAGCTAAAGTGCGACAAGTTTCATCAACTACGGTTCAAGCAATAAATTCAATTTTATTTCTTAAAACGACTTTATGATTTGATAATTTAGCGATCATAGGAAGTAAGTAAGAAGGATTTAAGCTGAAAATTTTTTACTTGTTATATTATTGTTATAACATTGAGAGATGGGAAATCTTCCTCATCGTTTGCTGTCCTATATGAATCATATACAATCTGCAAAACTCAGTACATATCATAGTAATACGCGGTATTTAATAATATCCTCCGGTTCAATTGTAACAAATTTTAATTATTAATCAATTCAATTAATTAATTTTAGTCTGTAAAAGACTAAGGATTTACATTCTCATAAAATTTGCGCAGTCTCTTCCTGATTTTAAACAGTAGTGGAACCAGGATTTAATTTTTTAGGATGGAACGTTTTTTTTTTCAATATAACGATAATCAATATCAAAAAAAAAATAATAAGCTACTTAAAATTATGTTTTAGATCTCCTTGGAAAAAAAATCTTAATTACAGAATAATACTTTTAGAGATAATTTAATACGAAATATTCAGATAAAATTTGAATGTACAGTACTACGTCAGGAAACACACCATTGTTTTCCACACTCTACTACGTTTAAGTAGAAATGAGCTTTTTACTTTGGCAAATTGATCAAGAGTTTGAATATCTTAATGTCAAGTTATGAAAATCAGTGTATTTCCTTTTTATTAGATTTTAAGGATTCAATTACATTTATTGATATATCTTTGTAACAGACAATAGTTATTTTCAAAGTTGGTTATCTTTCCTTCGATGATTTCTTCTGAAATGGTAGTTTTGAAATTTTTTCAAATCCAACGTTTCTCGGTAAACATTTACTTAATGTTAATCCACTCTCTTTCCTTTAGCTCATAAATGTTTATTTCCATGGATTTTTTTTTTTTTGTGTGTGTGTGTAACCGCTTATAGGGTTGAGGAAAGTGTGAAATTTATTCCTCATCTACCTTAAAGTGTTAATGAAAGAAAAATCTTCTAGTCTACACTGTGTTTTTTGCTGAGCCGCAAATCTGTGAGGGATATGTCCGAATGGGTTTGAGCAGGTAAGTGTATGTATTCAGTTTATGTCTGAGTTTTGTGTTTAGTTTTTCAATTTTGATTTGGAAAAAAGGGAGTATAGTATTTTCAGTCACTTGTTTAAAGTCTTTCGTTTCATTTTGACATGTGGGCCCCAGGTCATCCTTCTATCGAATACTAGCCCGAGGTAACGTACAGTGTCCATATGAGGAATTTGGTAGTAACCTATATAAACTGGTGGACGTGTGTCTCATCGAAGTGTAAATGTTATGTGTTGCGAATTTTCATGATTTAATCTAATTTTCCAAAGTGAATGCCAATTTTGTAAATGATTTTTCAAATTTAGTGAGGGATCATAGTGTTTTGTTAACATTTTTGTATCGTCAGCGTAAGTAGCAGTCAATGTTTCGGAGAGGTTAGGGGTATAGATAATGTAGAGTAAAGGAACCAATATTGATCCTTGAGGGACTCCTGCTGACACTGGTCGAATGGAGGAAGTTTCTAAACCCTGTGAGACAGAGAAAAATCGTTTGAAAAGACTTGGTGCGCCGTATACACAACTTCACTTAACTTAGGGCATCGCATATTGGGGAAAGTGTCCATGAGTGTACGATTGGAAGCTTTGTGGGTTCGATTCTTACCTTGGTCAGTAAATATTTATTTCTCGGAGGTGCCGAGAAATGTATCTTGAAAATCCCACACACGTTGGTACTTGGCGGCTACCGCCAGAAAGGGACTGGAAAAAACGATGGTAAGGCCCATTTGCGACACTAGTTCCGGTACACTTAACCTTAACGACACTTAATCTAGGTTAAGTTATTAACCTACCTTAATAATTAACTCCTAACTTAATAATTAAATTTCAGTTTATAAAGGATAGACATTTTTTAATTTTAACCTTCAATAGGATCAAACGCTGTTCAAGGTTGTTAATGCATGTTTTTAAACCCATACCGCTTGAAATATTTTCAAAGGCATGACTTCTTTACACCTCCTCTGACACAAGTACCATAAAATAGTTCTTGAACAATTCCAGAAAAAACAATTTGGGATTCTCGAGCTTAAATAATTTTTTTAAATATTTATTTTGTACTATATTTTTTAATGTCAAATAATTTTAAACATGTACATTTACTTTATTTTATTTTTAATATATTAATGATGATAGCGATTACTTCTAAAATAGATAAATAATGTTAATTATTAATAACTTGGTTAGTTAAATAACTATCCGTTTCTTATCTTGTCGAGGAAGTGATAATTCTTTCGCTGAAATAGGCCGAAAAGGCACGAATGAACAATTAAACAAAATTCTCTTTGTGCTAAAAGAGGTATAATTAACTGTTGAGGTCAGATTTGCGAGGTTAGGCACCGATCATTGAAGACTTAATTAATGGAGTTAATTTATTGTGAAGCGTCTAATCTACTATCTCTATTTAAATAGTGCATTGTGTGGCGTTTGACCGACGAGCCATAACTTCCTTGTACCTTATCGTGTAATATATTGTTAATGAGGCCATTTTAATACCTGTCAATGATCTCTAGTCACTGATTTTATATTTTAGGAGAAGAGAGTGTTTTGAAATATAAACTGTAAGAAATTCGAATATTTAAGCTATTTATCTGATGTTTAATTTACGATTGAAAAAAATAACAAAAATAATAAGTGCTTCAATTTCTAATCAAATTAAATATATATAGCGGTAGTCAAAATATCGGTTGTGAAGATCTTTGTTGATATAGCACATCTTTTAGTCGGTGCAATATGAAAAATATGAATTAGTCAATACAAAAACAAACAAATTCCATTAAACATTGCGAGTTGAGAGCCGATATTTAATAATGAAGTATTCAAGTGTGATCAATAAATAGATTAATTATAAAATCAGGTGACGATAAGTTTAATAAGGAGAATTATACACTCTAAAATCTAACTTTAATAGGTGATGTATTAGTTTTGTGGCTCTAAAAATCTGAATGCCGCACAGTGGGACAACAGGCGAGTTTCCTTGGACGCCGGTCTAGAACTCGTAAATGATTTTGTATTAGCATGATATTTAGTACGCTTGTATTTCAAGAGAAAGGAACACGAATATGACTTCAAAATTTGAATATTTTGGCAAAAAACAAAAAAAATCTCAATTTATTTTTTTAAACCTGGGAAATTTTAAATTTCACAATAAATTAAATTCGAAAATGACAGAGTCTTCATAAAACGCACAATTTTAGATACCTATTTATAACTACTGTCTATATTAATACATACAGCCGTATTTTTTATTAGAAACACAATAAATCACAAAATATATGTAATGACTTAAAAAGTGTATCGTATATTAATTATAAATATTCAGTTCATGGAATAGTTCTTATGGAATAATAAACATTTTATTGAATTTTTATTACAAACACATTTAAACACCATCGATAATGATATTTTGAAAATCATCAATATTTCCTCACATTTTTCGATGAAAAGAATATCTATTTTTTTCATTAATTTTAAAGATTAACAACTGCTGATGCAGATCAAGTCAAAGCGGTTCAACCAAATACTCTCAGATTAAATTTACCGTTTTAAAATTATAAGGATGGTTATATACAATTAAAAGAATAATATAAAACACTGTTTCTTATCTAGGTAGAAAAATTAAAATTTTAAAATAAAGAAAACGAAGATTTAACACTTAATGTAATTTTTTTATTTATTGTGGTTTGAGGTATTTTTTGAAAAAAATAACTAGAGAATCTTATGTTTTTTATGTTCAATACAATTCTTAAAACTAGATTTGAGAGCATGTCTAGTTATAGGAGATATTAATACATACCTAGAAATTCTTCGAACATTTATACATACAAAAATATATTTTAACCACCTTTGGGCGGACCATGGCAGTTTAAATTAATAAGAATTTATTTTTAACAATGACCGCTAAAATTTTTTATGAAATCAATTTTCCAAAGGATATCAGAATTTTTTTTAAATCGCAGTATTTGTAAAAAATTGATTTAAAACATCTAGTTTTGTTTAAAAAAAAAGTAAAGCAAGTTTTACAAACGATTATATTTTTTTTAATTAAGCAGAATTACAGTAAAAAGTACATAAAGCTTCAAGAAAAAATATCTGATTTTCCATTACCGGACCAGGGGATGAGGGCGGGGATTTAAAAGCTCCCCGACAACGGGACTCGAACTCGTGACTATTTTAAATCCATCGTCTCATAGATCAGGTTGCCGGTCAACGGCGGTACTGTGCACACACGTTAGCCCGTTCGGCCACCCCGCCCACCTTTGCCAACGAAAAATATTCTCATAAACTGCCCAAGGTACCAATTCACGTACAGTTCTTATAGTTTTTAGAGTTATAAAAAAATATTTCTTTTAAGCCGATGTCGCTGATTTTCCATTACTCGGCCCACTGTGTGGCGTTTCGATAACAAATGTATTGAAAATTTTCAGTTCTTGTATAAATATTTCTATTAAGTCATTATATTTTTTTTGTAATGATATTTGTTTAGTATATCGAGATTACATTGCACAGTACGTTTATTTGTTATCAAATTGTGATCAGTGGATGCAAGGTAAATTTTACATTAGAGTGAAAACGATTCTATACCACACAAAAACATTTCCCAGCTTTTATTTCCCATTTAGTATCCGAATATTGTGGTCACAATAAAGTGTAGTCATAAACGCAGATGTTTGCAAGAGCTCAATCACTGTTCATGTACGAATGGTCAAAAATTATACCTAACCAGTGGCTAGGAGTAAGTTTCGAAAGTCACGATGTTTTCTATGGACAATTTCTTTTTATTGCAATAATATAACACACGACTCCAGTCCAACACGAAACTGACCTTTAGATATGACAAGTTGATTGCCTAAACAATAATAACTGTATATATATATATATATATATATATATATATATATATATATATATATATATATATATATATATATATATATATATATATTATATATATATATATATATATATATATATATACAAAACTATAAAAATCCCCCTATACTTAAGGGACATCCTGTATATACAAAGCTACAAGAAAAGTTCTTACAAACAATGGCCGAATTTCCAGCAAGAAAATAGGAAATCCAATTTATTATTACTTTTAGGTAAGCCGTGTTCTTTATAGAATAGTGCTATGTTCCTGGCCTCGCGTTTCTACGGCGAGTAAGGGGTTCCAGGAATCGCATTTATTTGTATTTATATGTATTTATATCGGTCCCAGAAGGGAACCGATCAACTTAAAATATATTAATGATGTATTTAAATGTTAGATACCACAGACCCCCTACTGTAGTATCCTAGATTGAACCATATAGTTTTTATCGGATTTCCTTTCTAAAGGTATCATTTTTATAAATTTACTATTTGTTTCTATTACTAATTGGTGGCATGCAAGGTAGATGGTAAAAGTACTACGTTGGTTTGCTAACTAATATATTTACAAATTTAAATAAAACCAAAAACATCTATTTACAAATTAATAACTAAACCTATATACATAATGAATAGTTGAGAATCATACTGGAGGATAATGCTTAATGTTTCATTAAAGTTACATTTGTTATATTGATTATATTAATTAATGATTAATGGTTGCCAACACAAATTTACATTAGTATAACTAAATGCTTGTTACCACTTAGCTGGTCGTTCATAGTGTTTCTGGGTGTTTCTAGCCGTCATATCTGGATTCCCTGTCTCTGCTCTCCTTCCGCGTATAGTCCGTCCATCTCTCCTCTCCGTCTGTCCTCGTCTTGCTCCCCCGACTCCCCCGCTTGAAGTCCCAAGAGCAAGTGTTCTCAGCTCCGAGTCCCAAGAAGAAGTGTCCAGTCCCAATTCTCTATTTCCCACCTTTTTTCATCCCCCTCTCTTTTGGTAGTCTTTTTCCTGATTGGCTGAATATTCTCAGCCTAAGGGATGACCACGCCCTCTCCCCCAGGCCAAGATAAAGCAGCAGGTACAGATTTCCATATTTCTGGTGGAAGGTGTGAAAAGGTCTTTCGGGATCCTTTTTAAACACTTAGTTGTCGGTCTTAGTCAGGTACCGCCAGATGTGAACACTTATGTTTATTTATACATTTAAAATAATTATTCCACCGGCGGTCTTTACAATACATAGCAATAGGAAGCGATAACTAAAGAAATATTTAACGTAAGTAATTAGCAATTTGCTTTCTTGTAAACTAGACAAACTTTACTTCAAATATAACTACTATTAGCATTTTTAAAACCATTTAAAGATGACTTTTGAGCGGCTGAACTAATGTAAGTTCCGTTTAAAAATAAAAACTATATATTATTTGCCACTTTTTTTATCACCCTCCATACCCTCAATACTACAGATACTACAATTAAAAAAAAATCTCTTTTAATAAGTTTTAAGTCCACATTAATTACATTGACATTTATTTGGGAATTACTTAACATTAACCTCAAGCTGTGCAAAAAAATTATGTGACTTTATATCCTCTCACCTAAAAGTATATGTGTTTACAGCAAAAATGGCTACAATTGATTGTGCAAAACATTTAGTTGTTATTTTTCCATTATATGGGATGTATTATAATAAACATAGTTGCCTTAAAACAGTTTTTTTATTTAAAAAATACTGATTTTTCAGATAAAATAGTTATGATACTGTATTACCCAATCAGTTCTGTGAAAAAGTGGTGTGATATTCTATCCTGTCAAGTAAAAGTACCCTTAATTTTTCTTAAAAACTTAGGTGAATCTCAAGTTTTCTCCTGATAAACCTCAACTTAATTAACATTAACTTAGAGATTATTAAACGAGAAAGCTTTTCTAAAAGTACGGTATCTGTAGTATAGTTGGATGATGATAAAAAAAAATCGCAAATAGTTTATGATTTAAAAAAAAAGAACAAAACTTAGCTTAATTTAGCCACTTAATAGTCCTCCTTAAATGATTTTCAAAATGACAAACTCTATTTACGTTGTAAATAACTTTTATCTAATTTATAGTTAACTGAAGTCAACTGCAATTACTTAAATTAAATATTTCTTTATTTATCAGTTCCTATTAAACAAACTACACGACCTACCTAAAAACACACAAAATCTGGTTATCTTGCATTTCTTCTGAAAATATGTCCAGCATTTGAATGATTTTTTTTTTGTGTAGCTCTTGGGGTGTGTTATTACTCCCATAAACGTTTTCCTTTACTTTCGGATCATCTTGAACGTGTGTGTGTGTGTGTGTGCGTGTGCGTGTGCGTGCGTGCGTGCGTGCGTGTGTGCGTGTGTGTGTGCGTGTGTGTGTGTGTGTGTGTGTGTTGTGTGTGTAATGTGTGTGTATCAATAAGTAATATTATTATATATATATATATATATATATATATATATATATTATATATATATATATATATATATATATATATATATATATATATCATGTGTGATAAATATTCAGGACGCAGTCTTTTTTTTTTATTATTATTTTTTTATTTATGCCAACGTTACAACCCAAACATGTGGGCCATCTTCACGGCGTGATTTGAGCACTGAGGCTAGAGTACTCCTTGAATACTTGAACACCCTCAGTGCTCAAACCTCGCCCTGAAGATGACCCACATGTTTGAGTTGAAACGTTGGCATAAATAAAAAAGTAATTAAAAAAAAAAGACTGCGTCCTGAATATTTATCATCTATGTTATGTAGAACAGTCGACTAACTTCCTTCTATATATATATATATATATATATATATATATATATATATATATATATATATATATATATATATATATATTTAAATGAAGCATGAATCGAGATATAAAACGTATAAAAGAAATATAAACAAACAGTAACTAAAATAAATCATACCATTTTTTATCCCTGCAGTTTTAAAATTAGGAAAAAAATACTGTCATGAGAATAAACTTAGTAAACTTAGAGAATAAACTTAGGTTATGCATGTATTTTTAGACTGCATTTGTGTTTGTGCATTAGTCGATAAGACAGTAACTTTGCTATTTGAAGGTTTCAGGTTTTCAGGTTCTTTCAGCAACAGTTTTCCTTGCGGTAATTTGGACCTTCGTAGCATGCTCTGTATCAGGTCGTTATATTTTAACTTCGCAAGACTTGCCATGAATCTATAGAAAGTTGGTTAGGGTATTCCAATTGAGCAGCTGATGCACGTTGCCATTTCAAAGACGCTGATGGATGGTGGCCGTCCAAAGCCGCTTGCGGTTTGGAGGGCATACTAGATCAGGAAGTTTGTTGTAGTCAAGCATTACTTGTTTTGGACTCTCAAGCATCTTTTTAAGTTATCTTTTTTTGTTTATTGTTGAAGATTATTGTGGTAGAGGTACTGGTTGTCAGAGCAATGCTATTGACGATTATACTGTTCCTGTTTAAGCATATGAAAAAATTTCATTCTTACATTCGTTCTTGTTTCTCCGAATAATTAAATAGTAGAGCAACTTCGAACACTTAAGAAAAACTACATTATAAAAAATTATAATAAAATTATAAACAATAAACTACAAAACATTAAATTATAAAAAATAAACTACATTATAATAAAATTATAAAAAACTTAAATTTATATAAATCGTTTTTTTATGTTTCCTAAAAAATATAATTCCAGTGTTCTGAATGCTATGAACTATTTAATGCTATAAACAAATGATTTTTTATAATAGTTTTTCTCAACTACAACGAATTGTATATCATATACAAATATATGATATACGCTTCATGTATCGATTTTAATACAGCTGAATTGTGGTTGGACAGAAGCTGAAATCCTAAATAACTAAATAAAATGGTTGTTAACAGAAAGTTGGTGAGATTGACAAACTCACGCTCAAGTGATTTTAAACGTATAGTGCTGACGCAAGGAAATCCATCTGAAGCGTTTGAGGGTATTACATGTTTGAAGAAGAGAGAGAGGAACTCCAATCCATGCTCTTTAACTTATAGCTTGAAAAGATAATAAGGAAAACATCACGATATAACAGTACTCGACAGCAATCCAGATAATATTAATACAATTGCTGATTGCCTGATGAGAGAAGGAATTGCCGATAATAATGGAAATAAAACAAATTACATGATTATAATGAAAAGCTACTCTCTAATAATAGGACCTACGTAAGAGGAAAATCGTATCCGACAGGAGACAAACAAAGCACTTTGGGTACACAATAACGTCAATAGACATCAAAATGAGAGATACAAACCAGCGTCTAACGAAGGCTCAAACATAGATTTTCTTTTCCTCTCAGAGATACAGTAATATGGGATAACTTTGGGACTGGGTGAGTAACTTTGGGACATCAGGAAAATTTAGTTTGTCGTGATTCCGTGGTGGATACACTGTGTTCGTTAAGTCAGCATGTACTGGGGACGGCGTGGCCGAACGGGCTAACGTGTGCGCACACGTTTTAAATTTCCCATCCTCGCCCCATGGCCCGGCAAAACCTCAGTATAGCCTAAAAAGGTGAAGTAGGGGAAAACAAAAAAAAAAAATTGTCATTATGTACTGCACTATTACCTTACGCTTCAAAAGCGATGCAGTACTCCGGAGGCGCAAGCGAAATTTTCATGAAAACAAAAATTTGAAAAAAAAAACAATGGAAATAAACCAAATCTAACTGCACAACGAGTGTAATGAATTAGGGTTCTCAAACTTCCGCTAGATAGTAGCGGAGTACATGCCTACACAACTAAATTTTACCCGCTGTCCCAAATTTATCCACCCAGTCCTAAAGTTACCCCATCTTATGGTACTGAAATTAAGAAAAATATCTTGTAATCTTAAATTAATAGTATAGTATGCGTCAAAGAAGTAAAGAAGAGCGAATACGAAGCTGGAAGCCATCCATCATATAATTTAACAATTCTTCAAAAAATATGAGTTTATAATATGAAGTATTAATATGAATAATATCTGAAATCAGGCAGTAAATAACTTTAGTATTCAATGCACACATTAAATAATTAATGTTTCGTATCGATCAATGGAATCGGAATCTTGTTGGATTCAATTGATTTAATTTTAAAGTTCAATTTGAAAAAGAAATTCATTTTAACGATTTTTAACTGAAATTTTTGGCATGTCAAAAAGAAAGTCATTATCAACTACTTATGTTAGTAGGTTGTGGTTTCAATTGCGGTTACTGCTTGTTAATGCTGTTGCGAAACCAATGCAATATATTCGCACGCTAGTGGGTCTGTGGGGAAATTTGGAAAGGTTCTTGACAGAATATTTACTGAAATATTTTATATGTTATTCTTTAACAGCTTAAATTATACACATATTTCATATTCATATTTTAAATGGTTTTTGAAATAAAAAGTTCAAATTTAATCACACTACGTTCAATGATAATAAGAAAAAAAATGCAAACATATTATTTTCTTATATGTTTTCGGTGATACATTACTAACGTCATCCATTATGGGAGGTAAGTGACAAACAAGGAAAAAAGATTGTAAATCTTACAACATCGCAACTTCTTGTTACCATTCACCCTTGTCACTGATGTAATTATTTTTATAAAGAATTAAAAGATGACATCTGCACCTACTGAGTCATATTAGAATAGTGTTTTCGTTGGATTTAATAACGATGAAATCAATAGGAACAAAGAAACTATTCATAATATTAAAAAATGAGTAATAAAACAAATTCCTTTTTTTTTCTTGTTTGTTTAGTTTTCATATAAAGAGGAAATAATACAACAACAGCAACAGGAAATGGAAAATTGAGTCACCGCCGATTAAAAAACATCTGCTCTCCGATTGATCTGCAATCTGCAATGAACAATACTGCAACAATACTGCGAGCAACAATATCTGCAATGAAAAATACTTGAAAATTTCATAAACTTTAGTATTTTAAATATAAAATGTCAGGCCAATATCGAAAATATGTTTCCGCACCCTTTAGCAAAATTATTTTGTAATAGTAGAGAGTGAAATTTTACTAAATTGATACATACTCCATCTCTTTTCAATATAATATTACTCCAATTTTAGGTTCTGGTACCGGTATAGTGGGGAGTGAGAGACTAAACAAATGGGCCTATTGGTCCTTTTTTCCAACCCCAAAAACAAATTTTAGGCAGAATCGAACGCATACATTTCGAGATGGAGTCGATTAAATATATATATATTTGTGATTATGGAAGAGGAAGTAGTAAAAAAAATCTATATAATGAGTTTATCGATTTTTTTCCAATAATCCTGAATTTTCTCTGAAGTTGAGCAATCCAAGGAGCCGTTTTTGAAATATAGGCTTGTCTAAGAAATTATATTTACGCCAGCGTAAGCGAAAGTGTTAGATGAAATTGATATGGAGCACATACGTACCTCTTCGCACAGTCCCTGTAAATGTTATTAAAATCAGATTAATAGTAGTATATAGATTCGACTAAAACAAACACGGAACCATATTTGTCCCTTGCTGTCTAGATTTGCGTTTCTGAACTCTAAAGTTATTTTTTCCTACTCTAAAGTTATTGTCCCGCACGAATAAATTTCGATTGTAAGAGAGTTTTTTATTAATTTTTATTTCAATAGATATTGTTTTTATTATAATTAATGATACACTTTTAGACTAAGTAATAGCAATTTTTGTTTGGCTACACAAATTTTACTTTCGTCCGTCAACGTTTTGTTAACAACCAGCAAATATGCTGGAAATACAAGACATAAATGGCGTGCCAGGCATGGGTCTCTAATTTAAGTTGAATTGATTTTCTTCCAAAAAAATTGGTTTCATTCAATAATCTTAATAATTTGGTTTTACTCCATCTCAGGTTTCCCTCCAAATCAAACAATTACAGAAAGAAAAGCACCTGGTTGAGACTTAATAACAGCCGAAACCCTCCAACAAATGCCCAAGAAAGCTCTAGTATTTCTGACAACAATTTACAGCTGTATTTCAAGATTTTCATGACAATGAAAATAGTTACTAATTAAAATGGTTCACAAACCAGGCAAAGTTATATACAGTCTTTCATCCTACAGACCCGTTAGCCTCCTTCCTATGTGCTTTAAAGTTTTTGAAAAATTAATACACAAAAGACTTGTACACGTATTGACTGATTCACAGATAATATCTGACCATTAGTCCGGCTTTTGCACATATATATACATATATATTATCTTTTTCCCTTATTTTATTTATTTATTTTTTATTATTATTTTTAATTTTGTTTATGTGTATATATTTTTCATATATTTTTTTTATTTTTTTATTATTTGTATATATTTTTTTTCTACCATAACCTACCAGCTAAATATTTTAATAACAATGTTTTATGGAAAAGGCACTGTTAACCTAGATGTTTTGCGCCTATAACATCAAAACAACCAACCAACCATTCGACGACAGAGTTACTGACTACATTGTCAGAAGCTGTCGAATAAAAACTATATGCAACTGGAGTATTTTTGGATGTTCCTTAGGCGTTTGATGGAGTCTGGTTCCAGGGGTTTCTCTTTGAACTCAAGACTACTATATTGGCACGTACTATCTCATATTTCAATCATTCCTCTTCGACAGATTTTTCTCAGTTCGGCAGAGCTCGGAAATGTCTTCAATTTGTCCAATCTTGGCAGGAGTTCCCCAAGGTACAGTACTGGTCCTTTACATTTAATACGTTTAAGATATACTTATTAACGATGGGACATTGAAAGCTACTTATTCAGACGACACAACAGTTCTCACAAAACACCAATTCTCTACACAAGCCTAACTAATTCTACATCATCACTTACTTAAATTATAAGATTGTTTCAAACTGTGTAAAATTCGACTTGCTCAGGGAAAATCCAAACATATAACATTTACTCTCAGATAAAAATCTCCCCTCCTTTTTATATTGACAACAATCAAATTCCTCAAACGGACACGGTACTTTATTATGGACTTACCTTCGACATAAGGATGACATGTGGTCCGCATGAAATGTAAGACACTAAACAAACTATTGTATCCTCTTTTTCCTAAATCTTCAAAATTGAAACTCAGACAGAAACTGAATAAATACTTATTTAAATCCATGTGGACAAACTCACCACACATATACGATATCGCTAAAAGGACCCACCTACAAAAACCTTCCAATCAAAATTATTGCGACTCATAACAAAACACCATGATACCTTCTAGCACTTGAGCAACGTTTAACGATCCACTACCAACGATTTTATATAAAGTTATCAATAACGGAGATTATCACAAATTAATAAGAGACACGGCTACTGCTGACATACTCTAGAACATTAGAAGCAGAATAAAAAGGCGTTGGATGAGAGATCTCCTTTCTTAAACAACTTAAGTAATTGAAACAAGTCAGGGAAGAGATGCTGCTGAATACTTTTCTTTCGCTTACCATTCCTAACATGCCATTTATATCTTATATTTTCTACACTACAATATTCACTGATTGCGCACAAAAGTTGACAGGCGCAAATAAATTTTGTATAGTAAAAAAACAATAAATAAATAATATACGTATTTCTCTAATAATGAAGAAAATAAATAAAAAAACGAACACCAAATTATATGCATTTTCACTTTGCTAACGAAATTAGTATATGATTCAATGTTTTAATTGGAAGGATTTCAAGAGCATGACACAAATTAAAAAAACAAAAACAACCTTGGAAAAATTGTTGATCCTAAGCCAAAAGTTTTTCAAAGTTATTTCGAGGCCTTAGGATCAATAGCCTGGTTACTTTTTAGGTTGAATGTTATTTATTAATAATTATTTATTTAATGATTTTTTTTTTTTGCTTCACCAACTACCATTAAAGGTTACTCGGTATTTATAACTTACGCCTTGTCCTAATTCTGAATCAGATATGAACGAAACCAGAAATATTTATTGCACAGAGCCAAAAATAATAAACTTCTATCTTTGTTATTGTGTTTGTAGCAGATCGTAAATTAACTGTTGAGGAAACTAGCGTCCTTTGAACTTATTAATAGCGTTTCCGAATCTCCAAAAACGTGTAAAAACATTCCCACCATTTTAAAAAACATTATTTACTTGTGTATTATTTTCTATTAATAATAGTCATATAATCATATCTATAGTTTTAGTGAATTAATTTACCTAATAAACGTTTATTAAAATTACACAATGTACCTAAGTATATAGTTCAATAATTATAAAAAGTAATAAATAACCTGCATTTGCCTAGAAAGTTGCAAAATACATCAGGAAATTACAAAGTTATCGGTATAAATTTCTTTAGTACCATGAATTATTATATTTAATACCTGTATTAAATATAATTATAACATGATCGTATAATAAATGCTTAAAAGTAAAAGCATGAGATAAAACAGTTTAATATTTAATCTATATTTTTTTCTTAGTATGAAGTATAATTGTCTACTTCATCGTAAACATTTATTTTTTTAAAATATATATACTCACTATTTGTTATGTTTTCTCCCTTTACAGTGACAGTGATAATTAATAGTAGTTTAACTTGTTTTTATAGATTAAATTATTCTAAAATACTGTTTTAAAAATACATAAATAAATTTACAAAACCTGTACGATTACTGAGTACATTCAGTAAATACTTCTAAACTATCTTATTGTACTTATAGGGGTGCCTCTATTTCTTTCTCGGCTATATTATTATAATAAAATATGTTGAGCTTAAAACATAAACGGAATCCATAAAAAAAAAAAAAAACAACTAAAAGCTAAGTTATAAAAAAACAATTTATTACAAGCTAAGTTGAGGGGCACATATTTAAGATAAATTTATTCCTAGGATGTTGTATTATGGGTTATATTATTATTACAAAATATGTTGGGATGAAAACATAATCGGATCTAACAATTTGAAAATCCAGGAAAAAACAACTTTCATATTAATTTTAAACTTTTTTTCAGTTTTTAGTAGACTTTAAATTTATTACAAGCTAAGTTGAGGGACATGTATTTAAGGTAGGTGTATGCTTACGATGTTGTATTATGGGTTATATTATTATTATCAAATATGTTAAGATGAAAACATAATCGGATCTAACAATTTGAAAATCCAGCAAAAGCAACTTTCATATATGGTTTTACATTTTTTTCTTTTTTAATTTTAGTGGACTTTTAATTTATTAATAACTAAGTTGAGGGGCACATATTTAAGATAAATTTATACCTTATATTACGGATTATATTATTATTATTATAAATATATATTAGGATGAAAACATATTGGAATCCAACAATTTGTAAATCCAGCAAAAAACAACTTTCATATACGGTTTTACATTTTTTTTTTTTCTCGATTTTAATGGACTTTTAATTTATTACAAGCTAAGTTGATGGACATGTATTTAAGGTAGATGTATGCCAGGGATGTTGTATTATGGGTTATATTATTATAAAATATTTTTGGATGAAGTCATAATCGGATCCAATAATTTGAAAATCCAGCAAAAACCAACTTTCATATATGGTTTTACACTTTATTTTTTCGATTTTAGTGGACTTCTAATTTATTAATAGTTAAGTTGAGGGACATGATTTTAAGGTAGATGTATACCTGGGATGTTGGGAACTTTTTCACCGACTAACTGGATGTGATACTTTATATCATCATATTATCCTAAACCTAATTTTTGCGATTAAGTTGGAATTACTCTTAGAATTTCGATTAAAATCTTTAAATCAACGTACAATTAATACCAGGTACAATTAATAGAATTAATACCTCCAATATCTGTTAGATCCTATCCT